GATGATGATGATGATGATGATGATGATGATGATGATAATAATGATACTGGTGATGATGATGATAATAATAATAATAATAACAATAATATTACGGTATTTTATTTCGAAAAATCCACAATTAAAGAACAAAGACCAAAGCAAAAAGCACAACTTAAGCGACAAATACAAATTCTAGATATCAATAATAATCAAAACAGTACAATTATTTAAGGCACAGAAAATATTTTTAAATCGATATATCAGTGTACATGAATTATATAATGTCTTAACCATTATGTTCTTGTTATAGATGCCTGTAATAAAACCGGACCGAATGATATACCTGGCGGATATGCAGCCTCGTTATTGGACAGACAACCGATTTGGTGCTTCTTGGTACAAGACAGAATTCAGTGATATGGTTCGTCTCTCGAAAACTAGTTTGTTATTAAATTGTGTGTAAAAAAATATAATGGAATAAACAAAGGAGACATTCAGATATTTACATTCAATTCTGGCATGATATGGTAGTAGTATTAATAATGTGAATAGATCATTTATGCCAGGCGATTTCGGACTGTTTTATATTCATCATAGGACCTATATATTAATATATTATGACTATAATTTGTAATTGTAGGCCAAAGAAGGAGCGCGGACACAGGAAATGAAAGACATTAAGAGGGAGCAGAACGAAGTTTCAAAACATAACCTAAAGGATGTGAGGAAAAGTCACTTTAGCCTCGGGGATCACCAAGGAAGGTAAGTCTTCTACTCCAACGTTCGTAGGCCGCCGACGCGATTCGATGGAAAACGCAACACCACTAGGAGCGGGCAACGAATCATTGACGATCCATTCAGACTGCCGACTACCAGCAGACGGCGTCACGACGCGTCGTCGAAGCAGATTAAGCACGTCTCACATTATTGCGACCTAATGATGCAACCGTACCGACCTACGGTCGTATCTGACCGGAAGTATGACCTGGCGACCAGTACCGACCACTATATTTTTTTCAACATGTTGAAAACCCCGCGACCATCGACGACCCTCTCTTCTACACGAGCAAGTTGCTCATATAGCAGCTCTCACACTGGTCGGTGTCGGTCGTATACTGATCGCAGTGCATATAGGTCGTGATAGTGTGAGAGTTGCTTGCCGATAGTCGACCGACCATCGTAGGGCCTACGACTCAGTGAGTGCCCGGCCTTAAAAGTGAACACTGCATTATGTCCCAGACAGGCTGTGTCTTCCACTTATTTGCATTTATTGTTTCACACAATCGTGATTTTTTTTCCTTCCACTGATAGTTTTGATTCGGAAACGTATTATTCATATTTTATGGCAAAACCCGGTGCTGGATCCGAACTTCGTCAGGAAGACGAAACAAATCCCGCTGTGTTAGCCAGGAAAATGGTAGAAGATGAACGTAATTCGGCCGTTTTTAGACATGGTGACTACAATATAACAAGTAAGCATTTATTCTGTTTATAGGACTATTTATTAGCATTATTGTTTAAAAAAATGTTAATTACATCGCACTGCAACATACCTATTATGTTTACAGGGGCGTTACCAAGCATATCGACGTTTAACCGTGATTTCAACACAATCATAAAACCTTTAAAGGCAGCAGGATTTATTGAGCCAACAAGATCAAAGAAAGGTCGATTCCTCAACAGGGCTCCAAGACAAGAAAGGTACACGTCATAATTTTAATATCTTATGTTACAAATAGAAATAATTAATCAAACAAGGCGGTTATTGTAAATAGACCTACATCACTTACAATATAAAACATTTTTCTTCTTCATTAAATTCCGCCAACATCATCGACGTCTTCATCATCATCATCATCATCATCCTTATTATCACCATAATTCTCACGTCACCGTCATCATTATCATTCACTGTAACCAACGTCGTCGTCGTCGTCGTTGTCATCATCGTTAGCATATAACGTCAGGTTGGGCAAACTTACATCTATAGTATCATCGTCATCCTCAGCATTACGTGCTATCCCTATTTTAATTGTATTTGCGCGTAGCACCGTGAACAATATATAGACCAGGGAAGTTCACTGTTCCCTGAAATATAGATTATAT